ACAGTGTGAAATATTGTAAAATCAAAAAAATGCTTTTTCATATTGGGTACATCCCACTAATTATTTTTAGAATCGGTAGGAGAAGAAAGTAGTGCAGAAAAAAATACAAGTTCCTTAAATTGCAGACTTGCATAAAAAAATTGGGCAGGTGTACTGAATTGAGCCTCACACTTGTTGATAAGGAGTATCTTTCCTACCAAAAAAGCTTTGAAAATGTAATTTATCAAGAAGATCAGCCGAATTATTTTGTGTATTATAACGCCAGTGAGAATTCTGAAATTCCCCTACTTTCACTTTCATTTTTAGAGGTTCCCGCAGATAGACGCATTTTGCCGGAAAACGAATCTGACATGCCACCTCGAGATTTTAACCAAGGAAAGACAAGTTGATGTGCTTTGATTTGAGGGGTCACTCACTACCGAACCACGGAAAAATATGAAAATTAGGAACATCGCTATGAGAAGAAACGTTAACATTGTCGCCTATGGGAAAACAATTAGTGGACTGTACCCAGTTGTTCTGTAACTGTTTTTCAAAACAGTAGTTGTTCTGGGTATTTTAAAATTCCCAGACTTTTCAGCAGAATTTTCTGAAAATTTGCGTTTCTGATTTTTTTCATTCCATTCTGGAATTAAATCCTTAAGAGAATCTTTCTGCTCTTTTCTTTCTTTAAGTTTCTCTTCTAATTTCTTGCCAAATACGCCATCTTCTGAAAGAGACAGGCAAATAAATTTGCTATGAATATCCTTCAAGGTATATACTCCAGATCTTGTGCTGCAGTTTTCCTTCTTATTAGATGGTGAAAAGCCCCTGCTCTCCCCATTTGATCTAGTGCCTTAGTAGACATGGAGAAAATGTCTTTAATTGCTTGAACTGTGTCTGCATCTTGACAAGTTATAGAATCTAACAACTTTCCTAAAGCTTGCTGCATGTAGCTTAGTGAAATAATACCCATACGGGCAGCCATCTGTCCCTGATATGCCAAAGTTTCAATACTTTTATAAGGTTGAGAAATTAAATGTTTACTTTTCCCCCAACCTTTGGTTTTATTCCCATGTTTTTTTCTTAACATTGGTTCTAAAATGTCATCTAGTCCTGGAACTTGTAGAAATGCTGACGAGTTTGGATGAACAGGGAAACATTGTCTACATTCATCTCTATAAGCAGACAAGCGTTCAGGATCAGGAATTCTCCATGACTTTTTCAAGATCTCCCCTTGTGTTTTGTCTTAAACTAATCCAGTTTTTTCTTCCTCTGAAGAAGAAACATTGCCAAAAATATCAGTTAGAGTTTCTGTATGTTCGTCATTTTTATTGATCAAGCTCTGAAATCTATTGTTGTTGTTGTCCAAATTATGTTGATTGCTATCAAATCATAGACAGCAATAGATTCCTCTTGTACTGAGGATTCGTTATCACCCCATAGCTCACGTACTTCTCTGACACTTGGAGCTAAGGATATCATATCGTCCATTTCGATGTATATTTATGACTGGTAAGTATAACGAACGAAATAAAAATAGTAATTTACTCCTGTTTAGGACAACATGTTGGCGAAGTGGCTTGTTTTTATTTGGTCGTTTGGCAGCACACGAATTAAGCCAAGCGCTAATTGCACTCCCTGTCACGGAATGATGTTTACATAAAAAAGCGTGGAGTAATCAACAGAGATTTTCGGTTGAAAATAATTTAACGGTGTCTCCATTTTTTCTCTACAAGATTTGACAAAATCATCAGAATTGCAAAACTTACATTTAATTTTTATCTTTCATCTCCTTGCTAAATGTTTCTCCGTGTAAACTGTCAAATCTATACATGTAATGACAATAAATATGCTGTGTAGTTCAATGGAAGTATAGGTTTGATTTGTGGAGATTGTTGCCCTCCATTTCAGGTTGCAAGAATTTCATAGGAAACAAATCAAATCAAGTTATGCAACAATGTCGACGTACAAAATAATAGAATGCCAGACTCATTTACCCAAATGCATATATAAAATCTTGCTTAAAGGGTATTCACCCTGGATCTACGATATTCAATTATATCTTAAATATCGTTGTGTGCCTGTTTATCTGAATTTGAAACTTTAAAATCTTTTTCAGATCAAATAATAATTGTACTTGTTCTGACCTTTAATCTTCTAGCATGCAATAAACCTCACATTCAGACATTCATTCCTCAATCACATGAAAAACTATTTCTAAAAAGTACACCGGTTACATATTTACAAATGAATTATATCTGTACATTTTTGTAAGGCACAATGAGCCCCACGTTTCTTTTTATCTTTTAATACGACCCCCATTCCTTTTTTTACTGTCATTACGATAGAAGTTCAGTGAACTCTTCAGTTTGCCCTGTGTCAATATCATAAAACTATAAATTGTATACATTTTTTAGACAGAGTTTTACTTAATTTTCTGTATATATTACTGGTGAAAAATTTAAGTGGTCTCTGAGTCAATTTTTACATTTTCTGATTATTGTAATTTTGTATTTGTTGTTCATTTTCACTATAATGCATATTTCATGAAGCTTAAGGGTTTTCAAATACTCAGACTAAAGGTGAAATTTATTATAGTAGGCAAAATAAAAAAGAGAAGTGTTAAAAAACTTATATTTCTTCTATAAGTTGTACGTGCCAGCGTGGCAGTTGCTACATGTATTATGAAATTACATTTTCCTCGCCTTTAAGGACATTGGCAACGTTTCTGGATTTTGTATAGAATTTTTCAAGAATTTTGGACCAGGTTTAATGGTACCAAACATGTTCAATTCAGGTCCTTTTTACCCATCAAGCCAGCCTTCCTTTAACGATTTTGTCAAATCATTGTTTTTACAATTCTCAATGCATTTCCTATGTAAAATGTTGATAAAATGGTCCTATATTATTTTTAACCATACGTTTTTTCTAAAACCCATTTATTTCATAAAGTTTATACATAAAATACATTTTTGAATCTTCATTTCCGATGAAAAACATATACTTTGGCTGAAATTGCAAATATTGAAACAAAACACAGAAATACAAGCGCTGTTCTTTGATTTTGAGTTACTTCCCTTAATATCTAATTATTATTCATAATGATCAGAAGACTGCTTGTTTGTTTCTATTCTATAAATTATTTATTTGAAAGGAACTGTCATTAAACATTTTGGCAAGGATTTATAGTAACTTTTAATGGTCCTTCCTTCACATAACCTATAGAATCACTCTAATTCAGTCTACCTAGCTATCATCACTTTTAGCATAATTATTTCACATCTTTGCACTTCCCAGCATACATGCACTTACTCTACATGACGACTTGTTGACTGACTGTACCCTCGGCACAATGTAAACAAATCTATCGCTGCTTTTCTTTTATTACTCTAAAGTTGAATATATCAGATAAAAAACATACACGTGGTTTTGTTTACCTCTCAGTCTGTAACGCACGCTTTATTGGTTTTCACCGCCTAGAGAATTCCATACGGGAGATCACTCTCAATGACTATTTTTATAAATGAAAAGACCTAAGTATAAACCTTTGTTCTCCGGAAACCCTGCGTTGCCAATGACCTTAAGGCAAGAATAGATTTAAATGAATTTCTTTTTAAAGAGATATAAGTTTATTACTTGTTCATGTAAATATAGATCGCTGATTATGTTTGATATACATTAAATATAGACATTATTATTAACATAAGATTTAAATTAGTTTAAAAAAAGCCTTATTTACCCACATTAAGCCCGGGAAATATGACTAAAGGTAGGACACAATAGATAGGCCAAATTTTTCTTCAAATTCAATTTTCCTCAAACTTTGATATTTTGTTCTAGGATACAAAATCTCTCTTTATATTTGATATGAAAGAAATTCAACCGCACATTTTTTGCCCACATAGTCTGAAATATGGCCTATCAGACCCCTGTAAGAAGATTTATTTTAGAATTATCAATTGATCTATTGCAAATTTGTGTAATACTTTTAATTAAGATATCCTTTTTGTTGCTTGAAATCAGTAGGTCATATTGATACTGGAACATTTGAGTAAAATATTAAGTAAAAATAGAACATGCGTAGCATTGAAATTGAAAATTCTCATGTAAATTTCTCACAGTTAAAGTTTTTTTAAAAGAAAATGTATAATTCATATTTTTACATAAAATCAACAGAATGATTCAAATGGGTCCTAGAATAAAATGTGTAAAAATGAAGAAAATTGAATCGATGGTTTCAGATATTTTTGCGATTAAAAAAATTTCAATGGCAAAAAAAAAAAAAACTAAAAGATTCAGTAGATGACGTCACAATATTTGACCTTTGACCTCTTGATTTGACCTTGACCTTTTTCGTACATAAAGAATGGAGACTCCTTATATGTGTTCTAAATATCATTCCTCTACAATGTATGGAACAAAAGTTACACTGCATTTCATAACGGACTGTTACATGCTTGTCTATTACACTTAGTTAGCATAAAAACATTCGAAAATGTAAGCCCCCAAGTGACCAATATATAGCATTCTCTTATTTTTTCACAAAATATGACGCAAACATGGCAAAACTTATTATTTTTCTTACAGAGATCATTCATTGTTGTCAATATAATAATATTAATCTTCTTTTCTCCGGTACTTTTTTAGAAATTGATTAAAATAGAATCCACGGGTGTTTTGTCCTACCTTAAACGAAATAGATTTATTCAAACAAAAGCACATTTATTTGTAGAAAAAGAAACTTTCAATATGTAAAATCAGAAACAGATAATATTTCAAAATATCAAGAAACTGAATACTTTATGCTATCAACATGATTGAAAATATGTAACTCTTGTTAATGGTATTTTTTCTTTATATTTATCAACAACTATCCTTTTTTCAAATTACTATTCATTACAGATATTTCATGTACTGTATGTATCAACAAAGTTTATCAATTAAATTGAAAACCATAGGCATATGATACATTTACGAGTGCAACCACAAGGGTAAATGGAAATTAAACGAATAGGTTAGAATACACTTCTGTATCTATCTTTCTCTCTAAGATATGAAATCTAATTCTTCCTAGGACTAAGCATTAGCGGTACTGCATGTTTAGGTGTTGCAAATGTTCGGTATTTATACTCCATAACTGAATCTGTTCCCGGAGGAAGAGAAGCTTCTAAACGCTGGAAAATCTAGAAGACATAATGAAGACATCATTAAAGTAACAATACATTGATATTTCATATTAAATACAAACATTGTTCACATATCATTAATGTAACATTACCTAACCAAATGTCACCAGTTTTACAAATAACATTACCTAGCAATGTCAGCTGCAATCTACATATAGTAAAATTATATTTGATATTATGATATTCTTCTAAAAATAGCTTTTTTGGGAATGTTTCCTCCATTAAAAGTGAAAAAAAATCAAGAAAAATACCTTTGCAGTGAGAATATGAATCTCAGTTTCTGCAAATCGTTGACCAATACAACTTCTTGGACCAAACCCGAACGGAAGAATGGCGAACGGATTGGTGTATTTGTATTCCTCTGTTAGAGTGTTGTCATCTCGGACAAATCTTTCTGGAAGGAATATCTCAGGACTTTTGAAAAAATGAGGGTCCTCGCACATCCCAAGCAAACAAACAACAATTTCTGTCTGCAAAAAATTCACACAAAATCTGACGGATGCAACTCTCGGATTCTTGTCTTTCAAATTTCAATTGCAAAGTCAAACTAAAATATAAATGTTACCCCAGCAGGAATGTGATATCCCCCAACAACAACATCGTTATCAAAACACCGATACATCCCCGGTGATGTTGGTACATAGATCCTTGAAATATATTAGAGTGAAAGTACTTTATGTATTTATAAAGAGCAATATATTAATTTTATTTTACATATAGTTTTAATATGCACGGCAACACATGTGACCTTTATTGGTAATTTTCAATTTGATCAAAATGCCATTAATTGAGAAATATGACATCATTAAGTTCACATTTTCCCGCCATTTTAGCATATTTTGTATAAAACTGCTTATTTTCAAGCAGTTTTTCTTCCAGAAAATATTGAGCGCAAACTATAACAAACTTAATATTTTTACCAAAGATATATCTATACAAGACTTATAACTGACAGAAAAATGTTGCATGTTCCAAGCTGCGCTCTTTGTTTTCCATAAGATTGATTGTATATTGTTTAACGTCCCTCTCGAGAATTTTTCACTCATATGGAGACGTCACCGTATGCCGGTGAAGGGCTTCAAATTTTGACCTTTACTCGGCACTAAGGGCCATTGAGCAGCGAGGGATCTTTATCGTGCCAACGCCTGCCGCTGACACAGGGCCTCGGTTTTTAAGGTCTCATCCGAAGGACCCGCAACTTTCACTTCAAAGTGCCGAGCGCATGGCAAAGGAACAGTTGCTACCCATTTTATCGACTAGGTCAGTCGCAGCCGAGATACGAATTCACGACCTCCGATCACGGAGCGAGCGCTCTACCGACTGAGCTATCGTGTTCGGTGTTTCCCATAACAATAAATGTCAAGAAAAAGCCCATTTTTGTCTTGTTTTTGTTGGATTGCAAAAATAACATAATTTCTGACCGCATATTTAGCCTGTGAGTTCATATTAATGTTAAAAATTTGATATAAATTTTTAATATAATCTCTTCTACAAAATAAAACTCAATTATGCATATATGAATAGCATTCTAAAATTTTGACTTTAAGGTGGCCAAAAATGACTCTTACCATATTTAGCTCTTTATCATAATTCTCTCAATAGTATGAATTAAACAGCGCGCACAAAGAAAATACATTAAAATTAGAAGCAAGTTTTTATACAACATCAATAATATTAATGTAATTTTTTTATAAAGATGGGAAAATATGGTCCTGAGTTGTGACAAAGGGGTAGGAGTACGTTTTATAGAGAAAAGAAAGCACACAGAACCTTAAAGTTTTAATTTTAAGTGGCAGAATTTAATCAGCCATTAATAGCATTCTATAAAAATATACACTTTTCTTCCTATAACTCATAACAAAAATATTTTTCATCGTATTCAAGGAGCAAAAAATTTCTTTCCTTTCATCGCATATTTGACAAGGAGTAACACATAAAAGTAAACATTATACTAGTATTAAAACGGTGCCTTAGTCGTCTAATGTCCTAATGTTAAAGTGTTGGAAGTCTGAAAAAAGGATATGTAGCGTTCTTTCAAACATTAATTACGAAAGAGTTTCTTCTACTGATTTTAATGAGAATATCTATTTTAATTATGATTCAATACTCGTCAAAATACTTTCAGAAACAGAATATACATTTACATATTGGAATTTTAAAAATGGTCAACTTTTATTTTTAATTATCAAACATGTACAGAAATTTTAAAAATCTTTAAGTTCATAAATTATTCCGAACTTAATGCAGTAAAATATTTTGATAAACTTACTGATTCGACGCCACCAATAAACAAATCTAGAAGTGTTCTGTCCACAGCTCGAGGGGTCATTTTAGGGTGGCTGAGTAAGGAATACAGCAAATTCGGTTCCTGGAGATATTCCTCCAGATTTCCGTCCCGTTCTGCAGTTTCTAGCTTTTTCAAGGCACTTTTGATTTCGGTTTGACAAATGCTAAAAAGAAAATTAAAAATATTTTCAATTTAATTACACAAATTGGTTTTAATGGTTTGAAAAGCTGAAAAAAAATATTTAGAAGCATCTATATTTTTCTATTTATGATAAAATTATATTTTTTACCTTAAAGATATCTTTATGTATTTTAAATTTTGTTACTAATTTCAAGATCTCATTATTGCTGAAGTATATGGTGTCACATAAAATTAGTTTTTAATGAATATATTGTCGAGGCATCTTCCTTGTACATCTCAGTTTAATTGAAGAATATGAATATTTTCGGGGCAAAATAAAAACTCGATAAGTATTAATAAAATAATAATGTAGTTCAGGTTCTATCTCTTTGCTTCGTGTATGGTAAGAAAGCGAACCAAAAACCATTTGCAAAAAAAAAAATTACTTTACAAAAACTAATTTATAGAGTTTCATTATGTATATACATGTACTTACAACCTTTATTTTATGTAGTTAGAAGTTTAAAGCTCTTCGGAGTGAAAAGTCTGAAACGCCAGACTACAAAATGATTAGCAGCACGGTTATTACTTGAAGTTAAAGCATGTAAATATTTTATTCCCATTAAAACATTTCTTACCTATGAATATGGTCAGCTCCTTTCTTAAATTTCCTGTACAGGGGTGTGTTGAAGAAACGATAGGGTTTTATACCAATACTCTTCAAATCCCGGTCTATGGCATCAAATAAATCTTCCAAAAGGGTAATGTTAATCACAGGTTTGTCATGTAGACATCCAAGACGTCTATTGAAGCAAAGCAT